AAAATGACTGAGCCGATTATTAGCCCCTCCCTCGTGCTTTACTCTCGCGCTGCTCCGTGTGGCAAATCAAGCGCACCTCTCTGCATTTCCAACACGTGTCACAACAATTAAGAAGACCCAAGGGAAGCTCGGAAAGTTAAGCAGAAGTTATTTGGAGAGGAGAGTGACTGCCTATGGTTGAAAAGAGAGGTAAAAAAAAAAAACTTCAGTAGTGTGGAAACATTATGGGTTCGTGGAGTCAGACGTGGATCAAGTAGACATAGTGTGTAAACTTTGCTACGTTGTCATAGCTGCACCACAGAGCAACACTGCAAAGTTCACTAAACATAGATGTTTACATTTTTCATTTATTTTTTATATTGCAAACATTTGCACTGTTATCAGTATTTGCACACTATTTTATATTATTTTTTAAAGTCATTATTCAATACATTGTTATTGTTAACCCTTTAAATGCCTGTAGAACCGGAACTGCGTAAGCTAGCGCAATAATTTGTTTTGCATATGAAACCGGAGGAGTTGCCGTGCCACCAGGGGCAGCACGGTGGTTAGCACTGTTGCCTCACAGCAAGAAGGTCCTGAGTTCAATTCCACCATCAGGCCGGGGTCTTTCTGTGTGGAGTTTGCATGTTCTCCCCGTGTTTGCGTGGGTTCCCTCCGGGTACTCGGGCTTCCTCCCACCATCCAAAGACATGCAGCTTGTGCGGATAGGTTAATTGGATAATCCAAATTGCCACTAGGTGTGAATGTGCGAGTGAATGTGAGTGTGAATGGTTGTCTGTCCCTATGTGTTAGCCCTGCGACAGACTGGCGACCTGTCCAGGGTGTACCCCGCCTTTCGCCCTATGACAGCTGGGATAGGCTCCAGCGCCCCCCGCGACCCTGAAAAGGATAAGCGGAAGCGAATGGATGGATGGATATGAGACCGGAGGAGTTGTACTTACATCTTATGCCATCAGCTTCCTTCCTATATATATGTGTGTGTGTGTGTGTGTGTGTGTGTGTGTGTGTGTGTGTGTATATATATATATATATATATATATATATATATACACACACACATATATATACACACACACACACACATACATATACATATATATATATATATATATATATATATATATATATACACACACACACACATATATATATATATATATATATATATATATATATATATATATATATATGTGTGTGTGTGTGTGTATATATGTATATATATATATATATATATATTAGGGGTGCAACGATACACAAAATTCACGGTTCGGTTCAATACTTTGGTGTCACGGTTCGATATTTTTTCGATACAAAAAAATGTTCATGCCTTTTTAATTTGTCATTTATTAAAATTATAAATATATATTTTAACTCAAAGTACAGTTTTTAAATTTAACCCTAACCCTTGTGCGCGTTTTTTATTTTGACAGCGAATGCGCACCTGCGGACCACTTATGTGCACCCCTGGTTATTTAGCTCATCATATTGCAGCCACAGAAATTCTTTTGTCCATGAAACCATAAAGCTGCACTTTCTTTTTGCCTTATAGTCTCATTTGTCATAACTTCTCCGTTTTGTGGTAAGCTTTTCTTTGGCTGTCACTTCTTCACCCCGACCTGTCTTATTTGGCTCAGCAGAACTAAAATATATATACTGCTACTTTTACACACGGACTCACATAAGCTCAGCGATTCTCTGCGCGATCAACCTCTCACATGTTTAAGCTTGCTGCGGGAGATTTCACTTGTCATGTTTGCATAGTAAGCTAACGATTAATAAGACGATGTCAGAGGAATTGGTGCACAAATTATCGTCACTCACAGATCAGTGCTGTCGCTCTCTATACACAGTTTGCGCGATTGCAAAGTGAAAGCAAAAAACAAGCGCAAATTCAAACGCGATTTCAATATGTCACATATTGACAGTGGCTCACCGATGCCAATGACATAATTACCCAGCTACATTTCTGAAAGAATGCAAAAGCATTGACATATATTTTTCCTACAATAGCCCGACGGGCAGGGCAGAGAGATTTTTGTAGCCCGACTGGAAAGATCGCTAGCTCCGGGACGTCGGGCTAGCGATTTTGCAAGCCCTGTATCTGATTGAGGAATCACTCATCTTTGGAAAAGAGAGTTTATTACAGAGAAATGTCTCTTTCCAAAATAAAAGCTATACTATCCGCTTCTTCTGGGCTATATTCTCAGCAGCATAAGGAGAATCACGTGCTAACAGCTGTCTAAATGACTCGGCTAAAGTTAGTAGCATGCTTGTTGTTTTTGTCTTTGCACTAGGATGATGTCGGCGTAAATGTGCAGTCATATTCGTTGTGTTCCCACTAGTGCTTTCAGGTTAATCTCGTTGAAATGACCTTAACGCCACAACACGGCAAATCTCCGTTAACGAGCTACCGCGGATAGCCCCGTGCATGGGGCTAGACGGCCAACACGTTAACGAGCTAACTGCGCTAACACACTAGTTCACACCAATGTAATTAAGCATTGCATGGCACATCCAACATACTGTTTTACTTTAGTCCATGACTCGCTTACCTTCAGGGTCATACGTCACATGAAAACCAAAATAATTCCAAACGCCAGATCTGAATGAGGGTGGGGGAGGTCCATCTTGCAAGGAGAGCTTAACTTCTGTCTCGCTAGCTTGCCCTGCGCTCTTCCTCCTGACTATGCTGTCTGTGTTAAGCGCTCAGTGGATCTGCGCTCGACAGTGCAGCCTAGGCGGAGTAGTCGAACGCAGATTCACTGAGCGCTCAACACAGACAGCATCGTCAGAAGGAAAGTTGATAAAATAAATTACAAATGTTGTATTGTTCGATACATATGCGTACCGAACCGAAAGCACTGTATCGAACGGTTCAATATCGATACGAATATCGTTGCACCCCTAATATATATATATATATATATATATATATATATATATATATATATATATATACACACACAGACAATATAAACATATTTAAAATTAAAGGAATTTGAAATGTACATTGTGCCTGGGTTTAGAGTGTCTGGAAGAGAGTCCTGTCTCAGTCAATTATAGATGATGTGAGAGGGCAGGTGTGTGTGTTTAGGGGGGTCCTTCACACAGCTGTTCCCAAACCACGATGTCATGTTCTGTGTGAGGATGCTCTCCACAGCGCCTGTATAGAAAATCCTGAGGATCTTTGGAGAGACCCTGAACTTCCTCAGTTGTCGTAGGTGGTACAGGCGCTGCATAGCCTTTTTGGTCTGGACCTGAATGTGGGCAGCCCATGTCAGGTCTGAGGAGATGTGGACACACATCGCGATAGAATATGGTTAAAACACGCATGCGCAGTGCATTTGTTTTCATATGCACATGGCGGCAACAGAGAATGAGAAGGGGGAAAGCGGATCGTTGAGTGAAACGGATGAACCAGAATTAGTTTGTAAAAATGGTGCAACTTCAGTGATGTGGAACTGGTTTGGTGTTTGTCCGTCAGATACCCACCAAAGCACTTTTTTTTTTTTTTGTAGAACATGCAAGCGGGCCGTCGTTATTACTGTATTTGTCGGACTAAGGTGCTCGTAAATCTGGGAGTAATCTGGGTCCTAAACTCCATCAAGTCAAACGAACACTGCGACACACTGAGAGTTAAAAACTGTCTAAATTCTTTCACCTTTAATAAAATGATCAGTGTTGCTGCTTTACCAGGTGTAACAATTAAGTTTAACATCCAGGCATCCATGAAAACAGAATTTATTACATTTAACAGACTTAGAAGTTAGCAGGAAGTTAGCTCGCTAGTTTCCACCTAAACACGATATAGCATGTTCTGACTGAGAGATTTCTGAAAAAATTCAAATGTACAGCTCTGCTATCACTTCCAACATAAATGAAGACAAAACTAAACAGCAGTGACATTTGTAGGGTTACTAAAGTTGGGCTAGCTGGTATATCATGTGCTATGTGATCGCTAGCGACACAGCTATGTTAGCATAACATAAACACAGTGAAGCTGGAGGATGAACGCTAACACTTTTCCACTCGATAAAAGTTAACATGAGGGTTCCCGATGGTTAGAGACAAATGCAGTCACATGGCAAGATGCTGTAAACGGACCAAACTTCAGTCAGGAGAACAACTGAGATAATCCATCCACAATACGAGGTTAGTCATTAATATACTGCAACAACATGGGAACAGAGCAGCTGTGATAGAATACAGCATTAATGAATCGATGGTACAGAAGTGGAGGAAGCAAGAAGAATGAGTTTAATAAAGTTTGATTTATCTGACTGCTTTGTTTCGCTTAATGTGCCTTATAATCCCGTGAAGTTTATGGTCCGAAAAATACGTATTTGACTTTTTTATTTGGCACACTGCAGTTTAATGTTGCAAAGCACCTCTTTTTAACTTTAGTGGATATCATACATGGTTATGCTGAGGATGTGTCAGCCCATTTCTACTGGAAATGCCCTTTGGTTAAACATTCAGCAAGGAATTTGCATTTGCACTGTTACATTTTTATATAGCTTTAATGCACATAAAAAACAGCTGCTTGTTTAAGTGAAAATGAATGGATGGGTTTTTAGCGCTAGTAAAGTTGTGGAGTTGTATTTTGTATTTTGTCTCGCATCAATTATATCGTCAGTTATATCGTTATCGCAAATTTTCAAATGTATATCATGATGAATATTTTTGGCCAGATCACCCTGCTCTTGTTGCAAGCAAGCATTGTAGTTCAAACAACGTACTTTGCCCTGATTTTTAGTAAGGTCTCTTGGCTGCAAGTTTTACAGCCAGAATGTTGGATTTGCAAAACAAACAAAACTTCCACTCTCACCTGTCCCCAGACGAGCCGCTGCGTCCATGCACACCGCCATCTTACATTACATCTGAGTGGATGTGTTGAAAGATTTCACTGTGTTAAAATGGCATAGGAATGTAAAAACTTTGGGATCTGTTGATACATAGCATTCATCCAACTGATATTTCTTTTACCCCCACTAAAGCTATGAGCCACCTGAATGGACAAAAGATGTACGGGAAGATCATCCGGGTGACACTGTCCAAGCACCAGACGGTGGCATTGCCTCGGGACGGCCTGGATGATCAAGGTCTGACCAAGGATTTTGCCAACTCCCCACTTCATCGTTTCAAGAAACCAGGTTCCAAGAACTTCCAGAACATCTTTCCACCCTCTGCCACTCTTCACCTTTCCAATATCCCGTAAGTACTGGTATGGTCAGTTGGCATCACACAGAGGACATGCCACCGAAGGATTTCTGAAATACTCCTACTAACTAGCACAGCTGTTAATGCAAGAGATTAACTGTGTTCTTGGTGTGGTGGCTAATGAACAGATCTCATTGTTAACAGTTTATATTAAAACTGCTAAATGATTAGACTTGGAGAAAAGAGCTGATGCTAAAATCATGTATGATTAGAGTCTGTGTCTTTCACTTTGGCAGACAAGATGTGACAGAAGATGACCTGCGGCTGCTCTTCTCCAACACTGGAGGCACTGTGAAAGCATTCAAATTTTTCCAGTATGTACAGCTGTCCTACCTACTGGACAAGTCCAGGCTAACATTTGTTAAAGATTCCCATAAACCTCCATCCTGCCACTTCCATCCATCTAGTTAATCTGTGGCATTTGTCTCTGCTTCGTGTTTTCAAGAGATCGCAAGATGGCTCTGATCCAGATGTCAACAGTGGAGGAAGCCATCCAGGCACTGATCGACCTTCACAACTATAACATGGGAGGCAACCAGCACCTGAGAGTCTCGTTCTCCAAGTCCACCATTTAAGAATGTGACCCACAGGCTCCGGACACTATGACTGTGATGGTTGAACTATTTCAAGCTCCTAGATTGTCTGAACACCAGGGGGACCACATAGATTGAATCAGTTATCTTGATTGTATCATTCCTTGATATCCTTTTATTTTCTTTAAAAAGAACAACATTGGATCTCCCCAGCTCTTTCTGAAGTGTCTCTCCATATTTTTTGTCAAGCAGAACCTTGAAATGGTTGGTTGTCCCCCTGTACGTTAGTTGGATGTAAATCGGTGAATCATTTTTAAATGAAAAGATACAGTACTCGTGTGCCTTACTCAACTATCTTTTCCTACAGTTGGATATGTTAATTTATCAAACTCCTACCGAGGCACATTAGTATTAATGAGTTGATGAGAATGCAAGATGTTTTCTATTCATCTAGACAGAACAGTCTAGAAGCTGTGCCTCTGACTAGGCATAGCCGTGTTTCTTCTCCAATTTTAGATGACATTTTCCTTTTTAGTTTGGCAGCAGGAGAGCTGAATATTCCTGAGGTAAAATGTTTTTGGTAGCCTATGACATGCAGTTTAACTGGAACGCCTTTATTCCAAAGGGATGTTCAGTGGAAGATTGTTCTAGCACAATCCATGCATAAGAAACTATGACAATGTAGTAAAGTATTTTGTTATGTGATTTTGAAGCCTTCCTTGCTTTTCTTTTCTATAGCAGTGAGGTTTAATAGTTGGTGACAGTGTTCTTTAAAGCATGCATGATGATAGGCTCTCACATAAGTGTTGCATGCTGTGGAAGCAGTAAAAAGATGAGTCCACTGTGATTGCATTGTCATGTGACACTGTACTTGAGAGGGCTACTCAGTTGGACCAAAGTTTCGGTGCCTTTAGTGTTAAATCATATAAACAAAAAAGAGCATTTTAATTGTTGTGTATATGGGGAAGATGTCCACGATTCAAAGTGTTCACTGAATTCTTTTATTTTTAAATCACAAACCTGATTTCATAGGCATTTGTTCTGAACTAATCCTGGTGTATATACTTTTTTTTTTTTTTAATCGTCAAAGCTATGTTTTTGTTTTTTTAATGTAGTTCAGAATGTAAGGATTTGGACTCAAGCTGGTGCAATTAAAGGATAAAAATTTTTTCTAACAACGGAGGTTCAACTTGGTTTTCTGTTTTTTGAGTTTCCCCTCTCACGGTGTCTCTTATGTGTTCCGCATTACCTCTGTAGCATGTCTAATAAAACTCTTCTGTAGCTCTGCATTCACTTCCTCTGTCTCACTCCTCTATTTTATGTCTGCTCACTTCGGAAACCATCTTCAGTCCTAGGTGGGAGAAGACCAAAATCAAGTTGGAGACACTTGAAAGCAAGCTCTAATAAACCAGATTGAACCCTGTGAAGTTTCTAGATTATAGGACACTTTCTCGATATGTTTCCCACTCTGCCAGCTTACTCAATCTGTTCCTTTAATATCTCGCTCTTCTCTCCTCTGGTATTTCCCCATTTTCTGATTAGCCTAAGGACCACTGCTGTCCTGACCATCTGTTTGGGAGAGCTTGACACAACCACAGGCATCAGTAACAGGCACTTTTTAGTCTTTGCACACAGCTTTAGCCTGTAGAAATGTGAGGGGTTTTGATTTAGCCAGCACTTGGGTCTACAATAGAAATAAAACTCAGCTGACAGGGAACATATAAACCACACAGAAGGCCTGCAGCTAAACTGGGAAACTATCTGTGCACTGACAGATCCCATTACATTGTATAGAATAATAATAATGGATTGGATTTATATAGCGCTTTTCAAGGCACCCAAAGCGCTTTACAATGCCACTATTCATTCACTCTCGCATTCATACACTGGTGGAGGCAAGCTACAGTTGTAGCCACAGCTGCCCTGGGGCAGACTGACAGAAGCGAGGCTGCCATTTCGCGCCATCGGCCCCTCTGGCCAACACCAGTAGGCGGTAGGGTAAAGTGTCTTGCCCAAGGACACAACGACCAGGACAGAGAGCCCAGGGATCGAACCGGCGACCTTCCGGTTACAGATACGCTTCCCAACCCCCTGAGCCACGGTCGCCCAGAATGGCATGAAATGTAATGGACACAGCATTTAAATGTGCAGAAAGTGAATTTCAATCTGTAAATAAAGCACTATTAATCTACTTTCTATTAACCGGAAGGTTTCGTTCGTGGTTCGTTCCCCGGCTGCTCTAGTCTACATGCCAAATATCCTATGGCTTCAAGTTGCTCTCCGATGCAGCTGGATGGATAGAAAGCACTAATCTAGAAAAGCATAGACAAATGTGCTTGGCTGGATAAGACAAAACACTTGGCTTTGCTCATGCAGTCCATTTACTATTTACTCCCTGAGCTAGAAATGACTGAAACACTGGGAGAAGTGCTAGTACTCACACTACACCACAGTTTTCTTATTAATTTAAAGAAATCAGTGCATCTAGTGGCATAGTTCTAGTGATTAACAAAAGTGGAAAAATGTGATTGTCAGTCCGTGATTGTGAGGAACACTAAGTTTGAACAGTGTGGTATCTTAGACTAGAATAGAATAGCCCTTTGTTGTCACCGTACATGTACAACAAAGTTGTGGGTGCTTCACACAAACTCTAATGTTCTCCATGTGGTAAGTGTCCATGTGCTCATTGATCCTGGTCCCTCCTGTTTAGGTCTAGAGGTAACTTAAAAAGGAGCCAAAATCAGGCAGTGCTCCTGAAAACAAACACAAATGGCCTCCCACTGGTGTTTTTTGTGTCCTGTCTCCTCCTTCATGCTAGAGTCAACACACTACTTCCATTTACTGATCACAATCATTTTCATAAGGTGACAGTGCTACCTGTAATATTAATATTCCCTTTTTTCCCTTTAGAAGCTAACTTTCTTCTGTCATATTCATCAGACTCTGCTGATGAAAAGTGAAAAGTAAAATAAGCCCACATGCACACACCCACGGTGTTGTCTTTTACTTGTGTTTTTTGTATTTATTTCTGATTTTTTATTATTTACTAAATAAAGGAAAAGTAAGAAAAATGTATTTATAAAGGGCAATAAGCAGCTGCACAGCATTATAGAACAAAACGGTAAGATAAAAAAGGAATATTAGTGAAAGTGAAGTAATTATGTAGTTTAAAAGCCTAGTTAAACAAAACTGCTGCTTTCTACGAGTCCAGATGGTCTGCTAACCAAAGATGTACTGGGAGACTGTGCGAAAGTCTTGGTGTCACAGACTTAACTAGTACACACCATACAACACCTCACCTGGTGTTGGGTCTCTCTGCAGTAGACTATCACTTCCTGTTCCTGTTACAAGTGACAGTGGTTTTATCTGCGTAACCCATGTAATTAAAAAACCTTTAGATAATAATTAATTAGTGAAGGTTACAAATAATCTTCTTATGGCCTCTGACGGGGGACTCATCTCCCTGCTTGTCCTGCCAGTGCAGTTCTCCACAATATTGACTGTAATATTATCTTACCGCTATTACAGCATGTTGTAGGTAGTAAATATACTGCATTGTATCAATAGACTGCAGTTTGTTCCTGTAAATGGGGACTCCATTACAAAGAATGACTCCTAGCATGTATAACCTGACAATAATGAACTTGTGTATGTAAAGAACAGTGGAACATTTAAAAGGATGAAAATAATAAAGTTGCTGTCGCTGTGTTGATGTAAACAGGCTTCGTTCCATCAGGGACCGGGTACATCCACATGACTTTGTGATGATGGACGCCCCTGTCAGGATTGTTTGAAGAAGATTGCACTCCACAGTCCAGTCCTGGGCCTGTGCAGATGGCCTGATCCATCATCATGCAGACATTTGCAGCTCACTATTAGTGCCATGGGTTTTTATTTTGTGAGCGTTCAGTGGAAGTGCTTGTGTCCTGGATTGGGCTCTGAAAACAAAGATGACATGATGTATCAATGCAAACCAGAGGAGCTAATCAATACCTAGTCTTTGCAATGCATCACTAGGGCTGGACACTGTGATCCTGCTCTCTGTCACCCAGATTATAGATGACAGGACAAAGTCTCATGGATGCTGTTAGCTCATGGGTTTCTGCACTCCTGACTATAAAAACACATTGGAACTACGAGTTTGAAAGTAGGAAATTCTCATTCATTTTCTATCTGAAATAATAATAATAACTTTGTTTGTATAGCACAACACAGGGTTACAAAGTGCTTCACAGTTTGAATAAAACCCACACACTGAAGTATACAAGTTAAAACATGCAGACACAATCAACCACACAGTCAGACATTCATTTCAACAGACTCACATATACACAACCAGTTCCAAACTATGGCCGAAAATAAAGGCGCAAAGATTAAGGGAAAGCTAACCTGTAAAAATTTGTTTACAGTAGTCGTTTAAAACAGTTAGTAGAGTCAGCCGACCTAATTGACTCAGGAAGGCTGTTCCGAAGTTTGGGTGCAACAACCTTCAAAGCACGATTACCTCTAGTTTTGAAATCAGAGCAAGCGACAGGTAGGAAACCTTGGTTAGAGGATCGGAGAGGCTGATTGCTCTGTAGCTCTGCTACAGATACAGCCACTTAAAATGACCTAACTAGTATAATTGCAATAGTATAATTAATTGCAAGCTAGCATTTAATGCAATACAAATAGCCAGACATAAAGCACTCAGATTGCACAATAATATGTATGTACATGGGTACTTCTGTTGGAAATATGTGGTGCTTTGTTCTAAACATTTCCTGTGATTAATAAAGTCAGTGAAAAGCTGCTGCACTAGAGGGACCCAAAGCTTTGGCACTGTGCTTAAAAACTATTGGTAATCCTTGCCATTTACCCATTCCAAACAAATTAACAGATATAGCTGTAACGATCACAGTCACGCCAGCTTTCTTGATGGATGGTATTACTCAAGTTGTCTGCCGCTAATCTTAGTACTTTCATCTTTGTGATTTATTTTAATACTCTGGTTAAAAAATGTTGAGCTGTGAAAGGGACACTCAGAGTGCAACAACAGGCACATGTCCCATAAATAAATGTTCAACATAATACTGCAGTATTCATTCATTCCTAGTTAGGTACTTAATGGTGCAAAAACTTCATGTACTGACAGGTAGGAGAGAAATAATATTAGCATATACCCCAGCCTGAATGAGTGACCATGCAAATAGTGCTCTTAGCCTTCATAGATGGCGATCTTTTCAACTATGCAATCAAGACATTGTCTATTTTATATGTTTTCTATATCGTTTCTTGTGTGTAATCACATTGCCCGCTGTGAACCACCAGTACCACATCCATCGAGTTAACACTGATGTAACACTGTGTTTGACAAAGTCTCTAGTGCGGAGACTGCCGGCTATCGGTTGATTAATCTGAAGCAGGGTAGGCGAAGCATGACTGACTTTTCTGTTGATTTCTGAACCCTAGCTGCACAGACCAAGTGGGGACCTGAAGCTCTGAAGACCACCCTGTTACATAATATCTGTCATGTTTCGGCTGTGTGGCAGGCAGGATGAGGACCCAATCGCAAAACTCACACACACGGGGATGAACTCAAAAACACAGCTTTATTGCTGGCCACGAGAAACAATACAAAACTAAACTGGGAAAAACTAACATAAAGCTCACCAAGGAACACAGGGGAATCACACACAGCATGAGGGAGAACGCGACACCGAACAGAGGGAGACTCAGACAGAAATACACAGAGGGTAAACGAGGAAAGTGGGCACACACGGGGAACACAGGTGACACTGATAATCATAACGAGACAGGGCGGGGTGAACTGAACATGACATGTACAGGCACAGAGGTTCAGACAGGAGGAGAGAGAGCACGGGGAAAAACACAGACATAACGGGCTGGGGAAACATGAAACAACCACAAAGGGAGACGAGGGCTCATAAATACACAGAGGGGCACACAGGGGGTAAGAGTCACGAAGGGAAAACACATAAGGAACAACGTAACAGATCAACCCAGGAAGCATGGCCTAAATAAAGAACAAAATACAAAAATACATGAAAACTAAGAATGCTGGGCCCACATGGCCCAGGACCATGACACCACCCCCCCTAAAGGGCTGGCTCCCGACAGCCCAAACCCGAGAAACAAAACACAAGCGAAACAGAAAACACCCCACCCAGGGCGGGAGGCGGGGGACCAGGACGGAGGGAACAAAACGAACCAAAAACAAGGAGCACGAGAACAAAACTGAGTCCACAAATACACAAAAGAGTCCAGAACAGGAAGGCGAATGTCCAAA